TTGTTTTGTATATAGTCTTTTGAACTATGTATAGAAATAATTGTACTTCTATAACAATTTTGTTTTTGAATTTTGTCTTTGTACATTATTTCAAAATTGTATTTTGCGTTGTATCAAATATTGTATTTGCATTATATTTTTTTACATTTTTAAAATTGCATTTCGTATTGTATTTTCAATATGTATTCTGCATTTGCATATAATTGAACTCACGTTGTCGTTCACCTTGTTCACTGGGGGGATACTCTGTAGTGATTCATCCTCCCAGTACATGTAATGAGGTGGCGCTGAGAGCGCAAATAAAATACACTACTACCTTGTAAGTAAGCCCAACTATAACTTCCACTCTCATCAGCTGTTGTTCTGACATTCCGATGGAGATGGTAGTACATCCACTTTAACGGTCCTTTTCGTTTTGGGTTGCCAGTTGTTGTTTTGTTGTATCTCGTTATGTTGTATTACTGATTATCATTAAATGTTTTTTGTTGAATGCTTGGAGATCATTTTATGAATGAACAAACATTAACTACACTCACTTAAGTGCGATGAAAGAAGGATGGGGATGACATAATGGAATGAAATTGTCTTTACTGACGAGTCACGCTTCTGTCTGCAACACCACGATGGTCGTTTTCGAGTCTGGAGACACCGTGGAGAGAGGATGCTGAGCAGCTGGGTTATGCACCACCACACTGGTCCTGCACCGGGTATTATGGTATGGGGCGGTATTGGATATCACTCTCGCACTCCTCTAGTACGCATTGCCAGTACTTCAAACAGCTATCGCTACATCTCTGAGGTGCTGGAGCCAGTTGTCCTTATTTACCTTCAGAGCTTGCCCATAGCCATATTTCAACAGGATAATGCGCGATCACACATTGTCCAAGGATTCTTCATCAATTGCCAGATTGAATTGCTTCCCTGGCCAGCTCGCTCCCCGGATCTTTCGCCGAAATAAAACATGTGGTCCATGATTGCTCAACGACTGACTCAGATTACATCCCCAGCTGCCACACCAGATCAACTTTGGCAACGTGTGGAAGCTGCTTGGTTTGCTGTACCCCACGAACACATCCAAAGTCTCTTTGAATCAATGCCGAGGCGTGGGACAGCGGTGATCTACAACAATGGCGCTACATTGGCTACTGATTTTTGCAAGAACCACACTTCACAGAAGTCTATAAGTTTAATCATTTGATACTTGGTCAACATGTTATCTACAAAACAAATTTTGTTATGATATCTCGTGTCTTTCTTGGTGTTGCAGTTTGGGTAGCCAGCAGTGCATTTGAAAAAAAAAGTAAATAAAGAAATTTGGCAAAAACCTTGAAATAAATCATAGCAAGTGTTTATATTTCGATGCATCACATATTCAGTTGTAGGCCGATCTTGCTGAATATTCAGCTACACCCAAAAAAAAAAACCTTTCTTTTCTCTTAATAAAATATTTCATTTATAAGGGTATATATTAAAATAGTTAATACTAAAAAAGTTGTATTAGACTTATGCATGACAGTAGTTTTCTTAAGTCCTGTCATGCTGAATTAAATTCTATTTCAGGTAAAGACAGGCCATGCTGACGTAACCCCTAAATCATTCCACATTTTCTCATTAGGTTTAACTTAATATTTTTTTAAAATTCATTGCAATAAATATTTGCATGAAAAGTTTTTATAGAATAAAAATACAATTATGTTTGTTTGAGAAGATTTAATAATTTTCAAATCAATATGTTTTTTTATAAGTTCTCGGTGAATATATAAATAAAAAGGTCTAAAACGATTTTTCAAAGGTATCAACGCATTCCTATGGCCAGAAAAATTTATAAGGTTCTTTAATTAACAAATACTGATAAATAATTTATTTTTTCATCATTTATATTAGATAGTTACTTTTAATATTTCTTAATATAATTCTCTACTATTATTATGATTTGATATTTTCATCGTGAATTAACAGTTTAAAACTGAAAGTGGTATTCTTTTATTAAAAAGTAATCCTGTAGTATAACCTTCTTACGTAACGTTTTGTAAAACAATATTGAAAAATTTTAATAAAATTATATTGAAAAGGTAAGTAATTTACCTCTTGAAATAATTACTAAACAGCAAATGTGTTATATTTACTTAACACGTTGAATGCCAAGCTAATTTTACATGGTTTGCCCATCTGACCAAACGGTAATTAACTACAAACAGAATTTGCAAATTTAATTTGACAGATTTTGCTGGTCTTTTTAAAAAGTTTTGCACGGCACATTTGAAAAAAGTGGCGAATTATATAAGCCTACAAATTGTCTAGAAATAGTGGTGGATAAAATTCTACTAAATTGAATTTATTAAACCAAGAATCACAATTAATTAACTGCCACTTGAAATATTTATTTGCTGCCCGGAGCAAGTTGGCATCTCTGTGTGTATAAATAAAATTATTTTTGTGTATTCTATATTGCATTAATTTCTTCAAACCATTTATGTAACAATAATAATGTACTCTTATTATGTGTTTCTAATAATCTTGGCTTCGCCGGTCACCCCCATGGCATTCAACGTGTTAATTAACTTTACATAATATTACTAAACAATCCGGCGGAAAGCATGAACTAATTTTAACAAGGTGTTAATTTCTATTTTCATTTTTTTAAAGTGCTTTTTTCATTGGGTGTTTTTAAAAACTGCTTAATTTTCCCTTTTTCAAAATGAGATTTTTCCTTTGTCATTTCAATTTTAGCTTCGAATTATGAATAAAAACACAGTTCTCATAGTTCTATTCAATGTTTTCACAATTAATTCAACCCTAATCTATTTCGGCGTATTGTCAGTCCGTAGCGTATGAAAACACCATTCGTTTTACATAATTCCAATTTTCATGATTTTCGACAACTTTAGAAAAAAAAAAAATGCCAAAAGATTTTTTTTGACATGACAGTTAAAACAAGATAAAACCATCAATCAATAATCAAAGTTTGAATTTTATTCTAATAGACATTAATGGCAAAATGTTTGGGATCTTTTAATTGAGTAGATTTAAATTTTTATGTCTCAATCTGTTTATCTTTCAGAAATAAAAAATAATGGCGTAACAATCTAAAACTTCAAAACAAGTTATAAACTTGTTTTGATGTTTTAGATTATTACACAATATTTAACTTTCTTATTAGAAGCAAATCATGCATTTTTATATAGTACTCAGGAATAACGGTTTAAAATATTTTTGGAAATACTTTGGGTTTTATCATGTTACTGCTTTCTATAAATTTACAGCTACTTATTACACACTGAAATATTTTACAAATTTATTTAATTCCTCAAGATTTTTGGCAATAGTTTTGTAATGCATTTCAGTTCAAATTTTATTTTCTGACACTTCTATTCTTAGGGTTTTACTTCATTCCTATAAGCAGATGCGTTACCAGTAGAACTGAATTTCTTGAATTCTGTTAATTTTGAAGGCTAGTGTGGGTCTTCTATTTAGGTACCTCAAGTATCCTCTATTAGGTACTTTAGGTTACTATTATTCTATTTAGGTACCCCCCCCCCCGGCGAAAAGCACTATATCTTTCACGTGCAATATTTCCCTTGTCCACACTCAATTCTTTTCTTTTAGAATGCCTCATTCTCCTCATAGAGTATCAGCCTAGGCAAAATATTATTAATAAAAGGACATGCTTTCTTTCCCTTGCTTGTAGCCATATCACACACACACCTTCCTGTACCTACCTATAAAGCTCTACCCTCAATGTATGGTCTAATTCTAGGTGGGAGAAAAAACGACTTTTTGATTTAAAGAATGGAGCGCCCCGGGTTCGAATCCCAGCAGAGGCTGGTTGATCTGAATTCTGCAACAAACTCGCACGGACCACAGTGCTGATGTAAAATGTTCCCAGTGAGTAGGTGGATTATGGGTTAGAGTTCCCTTGCTGTCAGGATAACCCTGGGAGGTTTTTCTGGTTTTCCTCTTCATGTAACGAAAATACGGTTAAGTTTCATCAAAGAGCCCTCCACAGAGATAAATTTCCCACAATACTTTATCCTGGTGTCCCTTAAATTTTGGATTGGGTTCAAAATTACAAGGCTACGGAGTTGATCACTAGTAGTCGTAAATACAAAAAATTGAGCTTTATGTTCCTTAAAATCCAAAATATCTTACAGTTCAACAAAAATCATAAAACAGGGCCCAGAGCTTTATGTTCCTGTTGTGGACGGAGATTCTCTGGGGGTGAAGGGTTTCGTTTATTGAGCTAATTAAAAAAAGATTTTCCAGAATGACTATTTTTACCTTAGCCACAACTATTTAATTACATTCTTCACAACTCTTTTTACATATAAACTACAAGAATAAGAAATCAAAACACATTAAAATAACTATATGGACAGCTTAACCACTATAATGTAAAAATAAAACTTTTATTACCAATTTTTACACTCAATAGTATTAAAAAAACTGATGTCATTTTAGGTAAACTTCAGTAAAAATTTTCTTAACGCTTCTCAGAAGAGTAAGAATTTTCAGTAGAATGAACTTGATTGTGAAAAGTTAGAATATTCTTTCGCATAGTTTCGTTAGAATATTCTTTTTCTTCATATACTATAAGAATAATGTTTCTCCCCAGTATGAATATGATTGTGCACAGACAGTACACTTTCCATAGATTCTTCTTTTTTTTTTTTTTTACATTTGGGACAAGAATAAGGTTTTTTACCAGAACGAGTGCGACTGTGTATAGTCTAATTATGTTTCTGAGAAAAACTATTATTACATAGACTACAAGAAAAAGGTTTCTCACCAGTATGAACATGCCTATGTCTGAACAGATCATGCCCCGATAAAAAACTTTTATTACACAAGTAACAAGAATAAGGCTTTTCACCAGTGTGTTCAAATGTGATGAGTCAAAATTATCTTCAGAAAAAATTTCTTATAACAGATATACTACAAGAATAAGGCTTCTCCCCTGTATGAGTGCGACTGTTCAGTTAAATTCTTCCTTTTTGAATAACTCTTATTACATACACTACAGGATCAAGGTTTTTCACCTGTATGAACACGACTGTGTCTGGATAAATGCTGTCCTGTGCAAAGGTGTTCAATTAATTTTGGTTTTGTTGAAAAACTCTTATTACATGCATTGCAAGAATAAGGCATCTTCCCAGTACGGACACGTCAGTGCACAGTTAATGTCGTCCCCGTTGAAAAACTTTTATTACATGTGACAAGAATAAGGCTTTTCACTAGTATGTATGAGAAAGTGTTTAGTTAAACTTGTTTTGGTTGCAAAATTCTTATTACATTAGATCCTCCGCATTGGCGAAAGTTTTTGCTCCAAAATGATGGGCGAGTCAGCCTCTCTCTCTAATTCAGACACTCTAACCAGAATGAGTGCAACTTTGATGACGTGTTAGATTTGACTTCGTTGGAAAACTTTTATTACACACACCACAAGAATAAGGTTTCTCCCCAGTATGAACCCGGCTGTGAACAGACAGTGTACTTTCACGTGGAAAACTTTTATTACATATGTCACAAGAATAAGGCTTTTCACCAGTGTGTATGCGAAAGTGACGAGTTAAAATTGACTTACTTAAAAATATCTTATTACATATATCACAAGAATATGGTTTCTCTCCTGTATGAGCGCGACTGTGTAAAGTCAGTGATGATTTACTAACAAAACTCTTATTACATTCACTGCAAGAATACGGTGTTTCACCAGTATGAACACGTCTGTGCTCAGTCAATGTTGTCCCCCGTGAAAAACTTTTATTGCATATTTCACAAGAATAAGGCTTTTCACCAGTATGAGTGCGACTGTGCTCAGTTAGATGCGACTTCTGTGAAAAACTTTTGTTACATGCATTACAAGAAAAAGATTTCTTCCCAGTATGAACCAGGCTGTGCCGAGAGAGTATAGTGTAACATGAAAAACTTTTATTACATATACCACAAGAATATGGTTTCTCTCCAGTATGATTGAGAATGTGTAAAGTCAGACTTGACTTTCTTGAAAAACTCTTATTACATTCACTGCAAGAATAAGGTTTTTCACCAGTAAGAGCATACCTGTGTGTAGACAATATTCTCTTTCGCGAAAAACTTTTATTATATAGGTCACAAGAATAAGGCTTTTCACTACTATGTGTGCTATTGTGTTGATTTAAATTCATTTTCATTGAAAATTTCTTATTACATACATTATAAGAATAAGGTTTCTCTAAAGTATGAGTGTGATTGTGTCCAGTAAGATGTTCTTTCTATGAAAAAACTATACTACATACTCAAAAAGATGTTATCTATATGAGTTTTGGGCATGTTTTTTTTTTAAAAGTCATACTGACTGCGACCTAATAACTTTTATATAGCTTGATTATGTTATTGAACATATTTATATGAGCTGTAATGATAAGGATATATAAGTGTGTACTGACTTATATTTCAGTTTCTATTAATGTTTTAAACGTTTTTGGTTTAGATGACCATTTAGACCTAGAATTTTTTTTTTTTTACAAAAGCTGCAACGGTAATTTTACAAGAATTGAGTAACTGATTGATTGAGTAACTGATGAAAGTGAAAATTACAACATATTACATTAAAATACCCTAAAAGAAGTATTTTAATTATTATCAATAACTAAGCATAATAAGTATTTAACCTATTATCAATACACATAAGTTATACAATGGATTGAATGAATAACAATTAAACATCATATTTAAATACCACACAATATGATAGTCTTTAGGCAATGTAAACCCCTTTCTTCAACTTTTCACGGTGGCAGTAGAAACTAGTTTAAAGAATCTAAGGTAAACATCTAGTGTCATGAAATACTGGCTACTGTATCCAACTTAAGAAAAACAAATCTGAAAAAATAAATAAATAAAATTAATAAACTAATAAATAAAATATGTGTCTTGATATAATGTATAGAATATTTTAAACTTGAATAAATACTTTTTATTGCTGTTAAAATAAAAATTCAAATTTTGTCAACTTTTACAGTGTACAAATTATATGAAAGATATCACCTTCAACGATTTTTTGCTCTAAAAATAAGATATAATAATTGCGGTCCCCTTTGCAAAAAAATAACTCAAATCACGTACCTATTACTTTATTCCCATGAACACAGGCAAATTTAATAACACACACCCAACCTATTCTTTTTGCTGTCACATTATTTAAAAATCACATATCACGATTTAAAAATCATATGTTTTGATTTTTCTTGCAAATTATAAGTTACAAACCATAATTCGTATTAACCCAACCTTAAAATTGTACATTTCATTTCGCATTAACATTAACGAGATTTAAAATCACATATCGTGATTTGTGTTCAGGCGTTTAATAAATCATACGTTCATGCTCTTCTCGCAATTCAAGAATCATACACATAGACGATTTAAAAACCACATATCGCGATTCATATTCATATATTCTAAAAATCATACATTGTGAGCCTTCTCTTAATTTAAAAATTCGTCGTATTCATGTAATCGATTCGTATTCATGCATATTTTTCATTTTTGTAATTTAAAAAATCACACATAGCAATTCATATTCAAAAGCATTCTAAAAATATCACAACTCTATTTTTATTCATGCGATTTAAAAATCAGGAAAGGAAGAACACTATCTAAGGCTTATTCCGAAACTGATTAAGTTATTTGCCCAAGTTTAATAGTACCCACAACAACACTTTCTGTCGAAAGACTTATTTTTCAGAATGAATTTGGCATGTTCAAAATTACAAAGGAGTCTTAAAACAAAATTATTAATTTTTCATTTAATGGCTCGAAAAAGCTATCTTATGATAAAATTGATAAAATTATCACAATATTTAAAAATTTGCAAATTGCAGGATAACCATTAAGAAATTATTTAAACCATTGTTTACCAACTAGGACCATTTTATATAATTTATTATTACATGCTGGGAGATGATTCTTATACATTTGAACTGCAAAAATATGCTATCAAGATAAGTTTTGTAAATTTTAATTAATTGTTAATATATAAATCTATTAACTGTAAATAGTAAGCGTCTTGTTAAAAAAAGTATTAGTCACAAAGAGTTGTAAACAAGTATATTAATATTTTTATTTATTTTTTCTTATAATTATTAAGGAAAATACTTCCCTCAAAATTAATGTTTTCTTTCTTTTTTTTCTCCCCTCTCTCAACCCCTGCCTTTTATATTATGTGGCCCTTTCAGCATGATCACCTCAGTAGTGGCATTCATACAGTGCCGGATTATTCATTAGGTCAGGGCTGGGGCCCCCTTAAAATAGAATTTTTGAAAAGTATTTAAAAAAATTAATAATGATTTTGAAAGAAAAAATCAATTTCAAATATATATTAATAAAATAAGATAATTTTTTTATATAATGTTAATCATATTTATTTATTAGGTACTTATTAAAATTTAATTTATTATTATTTATTTTTACTTTAAATATGCTTTCTTAAATGAAAAGATATATAAATACTTTTATATTTGAATAAATAAAAAATATACGAGAAAAAATAATAATCTAAGGGCTCCAAAATTTTGAATGGCCTAGGGCCCTGCGTACGCCTAATCCGGCTCTGCATTCACGCGGTAAAATTCATGAAATTATTCATATGCGGCTAAAAAAAAATTTTTTTAGAACTGTAACTTAAAACACTTCAAATAAAATTTTTTTAAAATTAACTAACAGTGCAATTTTTTTTGTATCTCAAATTAAAAGTTTTGTATGTAAATATTTAACATACAATGCATTGCTTAGACTTTAAATACTAAAACAACCATAACCTTTTTAATGAACTATATTACTTAAGCAGCATCATTTCTATTCACTTTTACTACTAAGACAGAGCTCATTCTAGGCAGAAAAAAGGGCGGGGTGGAAAAGTTAAAAAAAGGGCATTATTATTCTAAAAAGGCAATAATTTCTTTTTATGGGCTTTACACGTTCAATTAAATAACATTGTCAATTAGTAAAAGAATTTTTTTTTTTTTACTAAAAGTAGCAAAGTGATCAAATTAATTACCAATTTTTATTAATAAATTAACATATATATCGAGTTAATGAGCTAATTAGCTTACTAATTTATTTAAAATGCATGCATATATTAATAAAATAAAAAAATTTTATTTTTGAGTGTCTGTAGTTATGATTTAATAAATAATATGATTAATAATAATTATGATTTAATGATAGTGGAAGTAACTGCAAACTTTCAAAGACATGTACAACAAGGGGGTGTGATGGCTATTTTTCCTTTCCCATATAAATCTATGTATTGACAGCAATGACAAACTAAATAAAAAGAGTTAAAAATAACAAAAGTTTAAGAAATCCATTGTAGAGTTTGGGGAAAAAATAAAGAAGGGTTGAGGAAAGAAAGGGCAAAAAGGGTATGGAGTCTATTACATCAGAGCACTAATTTACTTCAGGGGCAACAGGGTGGATTCTTTTGACTAAAAGGGCAGCAGGGTGCTGCGCCCTGTTTACCCTGCCTAGAATGAGCTCAGTACTAAGATACTGTTTCATTTTTTTTTAATTCTTTTTCTTCAATCAATTGATACTTACAATATACAGAAGATAGTGTCATATTATAATCTTGTTGAAATGAATTAAATAAATATTTTCTATAAATATTCTATAATTTTTGCTCAAGGGTATATTTAAACTTAATAAATGCAAATCCCTTTTACTTGCCTATATTTTTAGTTATTTTTTTCATTTTTTTTTAAAATAATGGCAGGCACTAAACTTTCGTTCTTCGCCTTAGAAGATGCCGGAAGTGTTGCTCATTTACCGTTACCCAGTGGGCACCTGTGAACCAAAGTCACGGAGGCGAGCAACATTACCCATGCCACACTGCCACAAATACCCGTTCATATAGTGGGCCACATTCATACAACAGAAGACAACACAGAGAGTGAGAAACATCCATGCCCAGAGCAGGATTCGAACCCGCAGCCATTTGCTTCGCAGTCAGGCAAGCTAACCACCGGCCACCAGGCCGGCATATTTTTAGTTATAAAACAGCTAAAATATTATGGTATGAAAATATGTCTTTAATAACAAAAGAGCAAATTTAGCTCCAAATTCAAATATTGATGCTAATAAAATAAAATTATCGACATTCTTTGGCATCTGAAATCTTACCACAGGGACTAACATAGGGATTTATATATTCTTACCGGAGACTGTGACCATTTTTACCCGCCTAGTACCTCAAAAATTCACTCAAGTTTCAGTTCCTCGAGGACGCCATTTTATTTTTCCACAATATCATTTTTCATTTCCTTGCTTTCAATATTGATTAACATTTTTTTATTTTGTATTGATTCATGAACATTTTCAACTAGTTCTAAAACAAATTATGAAATGTTTCACTGTAATTAAAAATTTCAAATTTATAATTTTAAGAAAAGTTTTGTGAAAGTGTATAATAGACATTATTTAATTGAACAAAGAAGTTTTGCACATTTTTGACAATTTTTAAATAATTAAGTAAATAAAGAGTCCAATTTAAACACTGCTAATTAGAAATAATCAAAATATGACACTAACAGATGACAAATAAATACTTTGTTTTTATAAAGTCACATTTATTTGACACAGATTAACAAGTACAAGGAAATATATGCTACAGCATCAGTACCTGTTACTACTTACTACAACAGCCAAAGAGGTTTTAAACTTGCAAAACTAATTTTAAAAAATGTAAGGTTTACTCACACACGTTTAACTCTTCAAATGGGTCTTGCTCTGGGATAATTTTTAGAGTTCCTTGTTAATCACAGCCAAGAAGTCATTAAAACTTAGGGATCATTTTGATGTAGAAATCGACACGGAAAACAGAGCCTCCGAAATACAAATTTGAAATATAGAAAGCAGTAATCACATAATACTCTAGTGCAGTGACACCTAATGTTCTATTGATATTAAATTTTGTTAAAAGAATAATTATTATTCTGTCTCATTATTTTCACAATTAATTAATTGGTATTCCAAATATTTATTGTAAGTAAAAACAAAGAAATATTAGTAAGTAAAATTTAAAATATGTGTCGTTATTTTATCAGTACTTTTCACTTAGCTAGGAGCAAGTGAAAAGCCACCAAAAAATTTCACTTACTCCAACTTTTTTTAAAAAATATCTTATTTAGATTATTTTCGAAAAACATTAAAAATAAAAATAAAACAATTTAAAAAATTAAATAGAGTTTACACCCTACAAACCGAAAATTACAGTGGATTATCATATGGAAAATTATGAATTTTTATTTATGATGACACATAATTCAATTAACATCAATGGGACAGTGAGAAACACTTTTTGTCTGGGAAGATTTAACAAACTGCACAAATAACTAATCACATTTAAAATATTAGAATAAAAGAGCATGATTAATGTTCTTAAAATATACCGAATTATTTATACAGCATGAATATTATCCACTTAAATAACAAAGATGTTTCCTTCTTTTGCAGATTTTTCTTTCTCCAAATGATGTGGGTTTTTTTTTTATTTATTTAAAGATGGCGCAATAAAATAAGATTATCTTCAAGAAAATAAACTTAACTAATATTTTTATGAGTACACTTCACATCATTTTAGTCAAAATACGGGTGTTTTCAACATTATAAATCTAAGACACATTAATATGCTTAAATTTTTTGCATGAATCTGTTTACGTTTATTCTTAACTATTTCTACCCGCCCAACACTTTGAAGATTCATCTAAGTCTGAGGATTTTTGGTCATTTTAGGAATTGGAAACTGGGTGGAGTGCGCTTTGCGCTCGCTTTTGCGAAGAAAATTACCTTAAATTACATCAATCTTCTTGTAACCCCATATTGATTGTTAATCCGTACTGTGCCAAACTTACTCGCCAAAGTAAAGTTCTCTTTGGCGTTGTTTAAAGAAAAGCTTTTTTCAGAGGAAGACATTTTATGGATTTGGTTGCCAGGGATTTCATATTTTATCATGATGGAAGTTTTAATTGCAAGTAATTCTTATTAATTAAAGATTTATAACATTAGTGAATGTTTCAAAGAATGTTTTTAAAAAAAATTACATGAAATTTAAAAAAGATTGAATTTTATTACGCTTTAAAATTTCAATTACATAGTTCGTTTCTCTTTATATGTAAAGTTTATGTATTTTAAGAAAATCATAATCAAAAAAGATTTTCATTTACCGAAGTTTTCTCTGCTTCCTTAGAAATCCTTTGCTTGATTTGTCAATATGTGAAGCAGTTTAGTAATGAAATTTCTTTTATTTAAATTAGATGATTTATGTTTACTTCAGTGACATAATACAAAGGTACCTTTTTTCTAGAAAATATATTGTTAATTAATTATTATTTTTTGAAAGCTATTTCTACCCACCTTGGTAAACAAAGATTCATCTTTTTCCTTTTGGCTGGAACCCCTGAATTATACTATAGTATCCTAGTATAGTAGCCTTACTTTTGGCCAAGCTACCCGCCAACCACGTTGAAGATTCATCTGCGATTAAATTCAAAATGCGCCGGATCACGCTATTAGCCACACGTAGGAAGGGAGCTGTTTTGTATTTATGTTTTAAAATGTAAAACAAACAATATCTACCATGTTTTAAAACTATTATAGAGCAAATAGTTCAAATTAAAAACTAATGTTGTTCTTTGCATTTTATTGTTATAAAAACAAATATTTATGTACATAAAAAGAAACTTGAGTAACATACTAGTACAAGAGTTACGGTTTTGAATTTTTTTAGACAAACAATATCTCATGTTTTTAAACTGTTAACAAGCAAATCGTGTAGTCAAGAAAAGTATATAAATTGAAACTAACGAGAGAAAAAAATACGTAGTACACAAAAACAAATTTAAATAACATATAAGAGTTTTGGTTTTAAAATTCTAAATATTTTTTCAAAATTCTCGTCTCGATATAATCTATTTTTAACAAAAATATTAATTAAATTACTGATTAAATATTTAGCATAAATTAATTAATATAAATTTTTATCTGTAAGAGGACAGTATACATTTTTCAATGCAACTAAATTGACTCTAAATTCTTTCATTGTTGGTAATAGGGATTTGTTTACTTGATTGTATGGTCTTAATATAAACTTATCAATATAAAACAATTATAAAAAACAATTGGCTAGACAAAAATTATTGTTTTTTGAAAATCACCCTTATTAAGTTAATTTAGTTAAATTATACTATAATGAAAGCTAATTTTATTTATCTTCAATTGTTCGTAATTTTTTGTTTAAGCAACAATTATTTTACTTGAAGTGGCCCCACCCCTAAAAAACCCAGACTGATTTATTCGGGCCCACTTTAACGAACACTGCTGTCTGATTTTGATTGCCAGAACAATTTGACTACATTAGCTTTTTTATGTTAAATTTTTGTTTTAAAATTGTTTTCTAAAACCTTTTCTTTAATTTGTCTTCTTTTATAAGCTCACCGGACAAAAAATTAGTCGCCCTTAGATAAATCATGAAAAACATCATTTAATACCGTGTAACACCGCCTCTGGATTCGATAACCGCATGGATTCGGTTAGTAAGTGAGTCCACAAGGTTTTGCAGGTGCGTCGAATCCAGTATAAGCCACTCGATGAAGATTTGATCTCGCAAACGCACAAAATTGCTAGGATGCTGATTCCACGTGTCCCACAAATTTTCAATGGGGTTTAAGTCAGGTGATTTTGCCGGCCAGTCGAGATGTAATTGGAGGTCTAAATGTTCATAAAACCAGTCACATAGTCTTCCCGAACAAACTTTGCTGTTGCCATCTTGAAAAATAGGGGTATCGACAACGCACTCCTCATGAAGATGTTGACTGAAAAACGACATCTAATCATCCAGAATGCTCAAATAAACATGTTGGTTCATGTTAGTGGCCACCTCAGTGAGAAGGCTCAATCCATAATAAGAAAAACACCACCAAAACATGAATGACCCACATTCGGCTTGAGCTTGATCTTGCACACGGTCAGAAGGAAATGCTTCATCTGCTCTTCGTAGCACTCGACGACATGCGTTATTTGAATAAAGGTATAAACGTGATTTGTCAGACCATATTACATTCCCCTAGTCAGCAACTGTCCACGTCCGGTGACTTCTAGCCCACTGAAGTCGCGCAGCTTTATGTGCCATGCGTGAGCAATGACCTCTTACGAGATGTTCGACTCCAAATGTTCATTGAATTCAGCTCCCGTAGCAAAATTTTCTCACTAACAAGTTGGGATGGACCTTCATTAACTAACTGAAGCAATTCCTGTCGGGTTCGGAAGAGATTTTGATCCACAAGTCGTGAAACTCGTCTGTGGTCCTTTTCATGGAGGATCTTTTTCCAACCACAATTCTGACGTCGTCCTTCGTGACCACGTGTATTACACCATTGCTTGTAGACACGTTGAACAGTTCGCATCGAAACACCAACAAATCCAGCAACTTTATTCACCGTATGACCATGGGCACAGGCACGCAGTTGAGCACATCACTTGAACACTGCGTCATCTTACGAAACCTAACGATTCATCGATGCTTGCGCACTAGGGTGACTAGTTTTTTATCCGGTGAGCTATTAAACTATAGGAATGACAAATATTACAACTTGAAAATGGTATGTATTGTAAACCAATTCTTTTCTATTTAATGCATGATTATTTTTCTATTGTTTTCAAAAACAAAATCATGATTATTGTATATAGATTTATTGTCATCTATCATTACATACATATTTATTAGTAGTTATTCTAATGTTTTATGACTCTACTTTTTAGAGTAACATTTCAGAATATATTTTTACTTTTTGGAACATATTTAGTTCTGAACTTGTTATCTCGAAATCTCAAAAGCTTATATATATGCATATGCATATATTCTTCTTGTTCTTGTTTATTTACGTCGCACTAGAGCTGCGCAGTGGGCTATTGGCGACGGTCTGGGAAACATCCCTGAGGATGATCCGAAGACATGCCATCACAATTTTGATCCTCTGCAGAGGGGATGGCATCCCCGCTTCGGTAGCCCGACGACCTGCACGCGAAGTCGAGCACTTTACGG